TCCAATATAAATTCATTTTGAGCCTCCATTTCGGGAAAGTATGTCTCCAAAAAATGGGCCACCGCTTTCTGTCCCCATGTGTGTGGGATGGAGGTATACAATGATTCCACATCAATACCCACCAGGAGTGCACCTTTTGGTACTTTTACATTTAGAATCTTTTTAAGTACATCTCCCGTGTCCCTTACATAAGATCTAAGTTCCAAGACCAGATCCTTGATTAGGTCGTCTACAAATTTACCTATTGGTTCCAGGGGGCCACCAATAGCAGATACTATGGGGCGTCCCGGTGGTTGAGAGGGATTTTTATGTATTTTTGGGATTACATAAAAGGTGGGAATATTATATGTATCAACTGTCAACATGTCACATTCCCGTTTGGTTAATAAGTTTGCTTCACGTGCCAGTCCCACTTTTTTATTTAGATCAACCACAAGTTTTGGGAACGGATTGTTATGTAGTTTACGATATGTATCCGGACTCTTCAACTGTCGAAGCACCTCCTTCTCATATTCCACACTCTCTAGTAGTACTACATTACCCCCTTTATCACTCTTTTTAATCACAATGTTTTTAGCATTCTTGAGTTCCCTAAGGGCTATTCTTTCACCTCTAGTGAGGTTATCAGCGTTCCTCATTGTCCAGTCTATTTTTACCAAGATCATCATGTACTAGATCTAAAAAAGTACTTAACCATTTATTTTCCCTGATATTAGGCATTCTTCTAGAAGGAGTTTTAAGTCTAGTGTGTCTTTTTCCACTTGTTAGAAACATCCCCTTCCCCAATTTCACTGTCTGTGGGAGTCTCCTCAATAAGACTAATGAGATCTCTTAATGCCTGTTGTTCCCTCTCTGAATTAAGGTCACCGGGATTTTGTTCTTCTCTAGATAGATATGGAATTCTTAAAAGGATCTTTCTCAAAAACAGATTTAGGTCTTTATAGACCTCAAACAGGTCCATTTTATCCGTAGGAGAAAAGGTTAAACCTTTCCGCAGTAAATCATAATGTCTTTTTTTCAATACAAAATTGGAAAGATTTATTACCTTAAGATCATTCGTTCCCCCCTCTTGGTTAGTCTTTATCTCTTGTGGCTTCTGGTTCGATTTTGATTGGATGGTTTTAGGGCAACTGAGGTGCTTCTTTCTTCCTTTGTCCCATTCATTTGTTTGTTTGTTTGTTTTAGTATCCCATGGTTCTCGCCATCTATTTTTTCCTCTAAAAAACTGACAGATCTCTTATTACTTTCATCATCATCCTCACTCATTGATGAATATCCTCTATTATTCCTAGAAAAATGTTTTTTACGTTTTGATCGACTCCTTCCTCTACTATTTGTTAGATCGAATATCTCACCTTTCTCCCAGTCCTCTAAATCTCTTCTAAATTTTTGTTGTTTTGTAAAATTTCAGATTTTTTTGTATTTTCTCTATCTCCTTTCTAAGGAAGTCATTATGTTTATCAAACTCAGGATCATTCTTCAGAGGATCAAGTGATTTCGTGCTCTCATTGATTTCGTTAGAGAGTTCGTTCAGTTGAACCTTCTCTTCTTCCACAATTAATCGCATAATCTCTATGCCATGTTTTATACAGACATCTTTCCACCTTTCCAGAAATCTGGGGGTGTGAAGATGTTCTGCTGGAATTACCCTTTCTCTTAATCCCCTGGGAACAATCCCTCTCTCTATATATGATTCAAGGGATATAATATCCCACTTTCTATTCAGATATTTAGTAGTTAGTTTCTTATGTAGCTTGAACCTGGTCCTGATGTCCCCCTCGTTTCCCTCTACTTGGGGGTCTAAATTCTTAGTAAATGCAGATCTAATTTCCGCATCCATCTCCTCATTGATCTGATAGGCCATTACCTCCTTACGTATTTCCCTTCCACAAAGGGGAGGGAAATTACATACTATCGTATAGATATAGTCAAAAAATATCAATAATCCAGCAATCAATGTACACCATGCAAATGTTTAAGACTGAGTACCAACCTCCAAGGTGGCAGAACAGGTTATAAGAACCTTTGAGGAAATATATCACAACAATAAAGCAAAAGCAGGCCACCAAAAATGACACGAGTTACTGGTGTCATTAGCATATCTCCGACTCACTTGTATAAGTGTGGATACAAAAACCCAAAAACTACATACTAAGCAATACGGTAGTGTGACAAGAACACCCCTACCTAAAAAAGAAGGTTACTAGATGATCCACGCGGAGTAATATGAATTCAAAAGAATTTTAACAATACTTTATTTGATCACATAGATCATAGGGGAGGTTAAACATGAGCACGGTGTACATATGAAAAAAATAAAATCATGTTAAAAAACACTTAGCGTCCTCAATTTAGGGTAATCTTAGCAAATAGAGCACCATATAAGGCAGAGTTGTGTAATGATGAAGTAGTTATCCTGGATTTCCGTGGGTTTCCCGCTTATATTCGAATAAACAATGTGTTCAGCAGATGTGTTCCCAATATATGTCAGGGACCTCCTGGAATGTAAAAGCTGGAACACAAAAATACATGGTATATGTATAGGAATATGAAAACCAATTAACATCAAAAGATTCACCAGGCATCTCTCCACATTAGTCAATGGATACTACTATTACCTTCTCAATAGTGAGACTATCATGCCCACTTCTCAAGTGTAGGGACTTCCTGGATAGCCACCCCAAGTGAAACAAGGTCCACAGTACCAAATGATTCTGAGGATATATATAGAAAAAATGAAAATAATAATGGATATAGAGATCATAGGCATCAGGTGACCCCGAAAACAAAACACACACAAATTGTGGATATATTACCATCAATAAGGATCAAGAAGACTCCTGTCGACTTGAAATAAGATCAGGTCCTTGATGCTTTTTCAAAGATGCATATGGGGGTGAGGAGCCAGGTAGTCACAATGCATGGGTTCCAAACACATATAAAATGTGTATATAGCATATAACAGGCCGTTGATACCTGAATTTAATATACCCAATAAAGGGTTTCCAAAAATTGCTCAATTAGAGAAGGTTATTGCGGTTTTATAAGGATGTGGCTATGTCACAGCAAAAAAATGCCTGAATAGGATAGCGTATATATATATATATATGTAAATTATCCTCCAAAGAGGATTTCCAAAAAATTCCCCGAATTATACAGGGTAAATTAGGCCCATGAAGCATGCCCTATTAACACCATTTAGGCTCTATAAATCTCAACAGCCGTAAGCTTTAAATAACTTGCCACCGGTGGAAGATAAATTTCCCTGAGGGATTGCCGTTTGCGAAATCCAGGATAACTACTTCATCATTACACAACTCTGCCTTATATGGTGCTCTATTTGCTAAGATTACCCTAAATTGAGGACGCTAAGTGTTTTTTTAACATGATTTTTTTTTTTTCACATGTACACCGTGCTTATGTTTAACCTCCCTATGATCTATGTGATCAAATAAAGTATTGTTAAAATTCTTTTGAATTCATATTACTCCGCGTGGATCATCTAGTAACCTTCTTTTTTTAGGTAGGGGTGTTCCTGCATTCACTATATCTGCTCTCCCTGGAGCCTGCATTCACTATATCCCGCTCTCCCCAGAACATGCATTCACTATATCCAATCTCCCAGGACCCCCCATACACTATATCTGGTCTCCTCGGACTCTGCATTCACTATATCCGCTCTTCCCAGACCCCGCATTCACTATATCTACTCTCCCTGGACCCTGCATTCACTATATCTGCTCTCCCTTGACGCTGCATTCACTATATCCAGTCCCCCCCTCCGACCCTGCATTCACTATATCTGGTCTTCACAGACCCTGCATTCATTATATCTGGTCTCCCCGGGACCCTGCATTCACTATATCTTCTCTCTCTGGACCCTGCATTCACTATATCTGGACTCCCCAGACCCTGCATTCACTATCATATTATAAAGTGAAAAAAATGCTGCGCTACATGAAACAATTGTACAATTCCTATATATCAAAAAAGCAAAGTGAAAAAATAAATAATAAAGTAAAAATTATTGAAAAAAGAATTAAGTAAATAAAACTATATATATATATATATATATATATATATAAACAAACAAGAACCACAAAAAAATCAAAAAGTATTTTTTAAGTATGAATCAAGAAAAGTCATTCAACAACTCATGTTCAATCAATAAAGTGTTCTTCTGTGAACTCTCCTTTGGATAACAAAAAATATGTGCATCTGTCATCAATTCCCGTGCAAAGACATCCTCCACCATATGTCTGCTCACCTCACGCAGTGTGACCGCACATTATACAATGTTACATCTAACTGCACTTTTGGTCCCATTTGGACTCAGAAGATCAGTTTGTTGAATGAGGACTCCAAAGTAATCTCCCTCTGATAAGCGTCTTTGTATCAGCCGTATTCCTCATTACAAAGAACTCCACATAGTGCTTTATCCTTTTACACTTTTATTCATCAATTAAACATAAGAAATGCACTCACGTTCCGGAGGTGTATATTGCACCAGGTATGATGAACATCCAGTGATGTACTGATTAGACACTAGATGGCAGTATCATCTCAGCAGCAGAGTCCTGTACATGCTCAAACCAGACCCCATCCGTAATGTAATGCCAGGCAAAGCACGGGGCCACTTATTGAATGCTATTGGCTGCTGTAATGTCGTTCCAGGAGCCGCTTACAGAGTACTATAACCGCTGTCCCAATGAATGGTAATGTTGTGACATCATCGTACACTCCTCCCCGGGCCCTGCATTCACTTATCCGCTCTCCCTGGACCCTACATTCACTATATATAGTCTCCCCGAACCCTGCAATTCACTATATCCAGTATCCCCAGACCCTGCATACATAATATCCGCTCTCCCCGGACCCTGCATTCACTATATCTTCTCTCCCCGGACCCTGCATTCACTATATCTGCTCTCCCCGGACCTTTGCAATCACTAAATATTATGGTCTTCCCCGGACCCTGCATTCACTATATTTTGGTCTCACCCAGACCCTGCATTCACTATATCCGCTCTCCCCAGACCCTGAATTCACTATATCTGGTCTCCCCAGACCCTGCATTCACTATGTCTGGTCTCCCCGGACCCTGCATTCACTATATCCGCTCTCCCCCGGACCCTGCATTCACTATATCCACTCCTCCCGTCCCCTGCATTCACTGTATCTGGTCTCCCAGGACCTGCATTCACTATATCCAGTCTCCCTGTACTGGTATTTGGTTTTTTTTTCCCTGGAACCCTGCATTCACTATATCAGGTCTACCCGGATGCTGCATTCACTATATCAGGTCTTCCCGGACCCTGCATTCACTATATCCACTCTCCCTGTACCCTGAATTCACTATTATCCACTTTCCCTGGAACCTTGCATTCACTATAATCTCGTGTCCTTTTATCCTGCATTCACTATATCTGGTCTCTCCCCAGTACCTGCATTCACTATATCTGGTCTCCCAGCACCCTGCATTCACTATGTCTTGTCTCCCCGGACCCTGCATTCACTATATGCGCTCCTCCCCCGGAACTTGCATTCACTATATCTGGTTCTCCCGGACCCAGCATTCACTATATCTGGTCTCCCCGGACCCTGCATTCACTATATCCACTCTCCCCAGACCCTGCATTCACTATACTTGCTCTTCCCCAGACCCTGCATTCACTATATTGCTCTTCCCGGACTCTGCAAAATTATAAACACTCCACAGCGCAAATAAATGATATATTCAAAATTAAAATACTATCAATAAAAATCAAAAAAAATAAATATAAAGTCAACACATTTTTTTTTTTTTCCAAAAATATATCAATATTGTCTCAATCCCAAAAAAATCTGTGCATAAATCCAAAATTTATCTTCAAACAAATGTGCTCCCCCATTCGTGATGATATGCCTCCCTCCCCCCTCACCAGATAAGGACTGGACTTTCCTGATATGGCACAAGAGTCAGACATGCAATAGAATGATTGGGCGTGTAATCCCAGAACTCTTACTAATATCCCTCTTCATAAAACGATCCACTGAATTGGATTGACAATTTAAAACAAAACAAAAACAACAAATAGTGCAATACTGTAAAAAAACTTTAATTATTAAACAAAAGTCTGCTTCTATTACACTCACATGATACAAAATATTAGTCAGGCTTCATTTAATAGGCCCAGCGAGGTCATATTATATGACAGATTTAATTGTAAAGTGGACTGGCAAAGATAGATAAGGAAATCCCTTTCTAGACAAGCAGTTAAGTCACTCCGGAACACCGCAATCCAGCGTGCAGTTCCACTCACCGGACATGATGTCACCACGCACCCATAAACCGGAAATACAGCGACGATATTTTTTTCACCCTCCTCCAGGGGCGCTATCCAAGGCATCATTTTCCGTTTAATCCTAACATCTTTTAACCTCCCACTACTCCTCCCCTTTCTCCATTCAGCCAAATCCATCCCATTAACCCTCTAACAAAAGAAACCTCATATCCCTCCATCCACTTCGCCCAATTACAATCTCCAAGCCAACATACACATAACAATCTCAATATATATAACAAACATTTAACAATTACCTCTCTCTTTATTTTAATAACAAATATTTCCTCCATTCTGATTAATCTTTAAAACAAAGAATAAAATACATGAAAAAAATTAAACATAAAAACAAATATTATAAAAATAAATATAACAAATTAATTCAAAAAAAACAACCAAAAATAAATTAAAAATAAAAACAACCCAAAATAAAATATAAAAATAAAATTTATAATTTGAAATAAAAAATAAAAAATGGCAATAAAATAATATAATTTTTTTATAATTAATCCCTAAAACCCACAATTCGTATCAATAACAACAATCAAAGAATTCATATCATAGCACTACCAAATTTGGACAAGAAACAGTTAAGATCAACATCTATATTCAAAACTTAGGGGATAAAGTATTCAATTTTAGGATCCATCTGGTCTCATTCACCCTAAAAACCGACCAAGCCACCTAGTCATGTTCCACCACACCAATGAGGCTCAACTTTTCGATCCCACAGAACCTGAGCAAAGATGGATCCCTATTGTGGCACTTCCTAAAATGTATAGGACAAACTGTGATGCCTATAAAAACCTTTGTTAATGTAATTTTTAATTGCCCCCCAGTCTTACAGATAATTTTTCTAGTTGTTCTTTCCCACTAGATTTGAAGGTCAGACCAGGGACATTTCCAACCAAATACATTTACATGATATATATTTTTATCCCATGAAGCACATTTCTGAATATTATATAATTCCCCTTTAGCCTGTGACTGAAATTGTAAGATGTTCCTATTCCTGTCACCCTTCATCACTTTACAAGCCATTTTTCAGAAATGAGACAAGATGGATCCTAAAATTGAATATTTTATCCCCTAAGGGGCCTGAAATTATACAGTTCAAGAAAAATTATATCGAACCCCTTTGGATTACGTGGAGTATTTGCATGAATTGGCAAAAAATTATGCTCAAACGTCATCTAAGTTCACAACAATAGAAGAACACAGTCTGCTGAACCATAATACTCACACAAACATTTGATGTTGCCCATGGTTTCACATTGCACATAAACATGTAAACATTCACAGTGCAGGAGGGAAAAAGTATGTTGAACCTTTTGGATTTTATAAACTGGTTGACCCTCCTTTGGCAGCAATAACTTTCAACCAAAATTTTTTCCTGTAGTTACAGATCAGACCTGCACTAACAACGATCTGGATTTTCATTTTGGACCACTCCTTCTTCACAAAACTGTTTCAGGATTTGTAGCATATATTCTTCGGAGGATGTCTGGTGTGAATCGCTCTCTTAAGGTCATGCCACAGCATTTCAATGACTTTTGAGTCAGGACTCTGACTGGGCCACTCCAGTTTCAGGCGTATTGTGCTGTTGCAGCCATTGTTTTGTTGAATGATAAGCTTTGGGTCATTGTCCTTTGCATCACCCATCCTCTGCGGAGCTTCAGTTGGCGGACAGATGGTCGTACGTTTTTCCTGCAAAATGTCTTGATAAACTCTGGAATTAATTTTCCCATCAATGACAACAATCCGTCCAGTCCTGAGGCAGCAAAGCACCCCAAACCATGATGCTCCCCCCGCCATGTTTCACAGTGGGAAATGAGGTTTTGATTTTAATATTGTGCTGTGCTATTTTTTTTCCCACACATAGTGTTGTTGTGTTTTTCCCAAACAACTCAATCTTGGTTCACCACCCCATCTGTCCACAGTATATTTTGCCATAGATAATGCTTGTGGAACATCCAGGTGCTCTTTTGCAAACTTCCTCAAACGTGCTGCAATCTTCTTTTTGGACAGCAAATGGCTTCCTCCGTGGTGTCCCTCCCCATGTACCCCATTTCATTTTTAAATGGTTTTCCTTATTGTATAGATGTGTCAACAAAAATGTTAGCATGTGCCAGAGATTTCTGTAGGTCTTTAGCTGACACTCTGGGATTCTTCTTTACCTCATGCAGCATTTCTGCGCTGTGCTCTTGCAGTCATTTTTTTACAGGACGACCACGCCTAGGGAGAGTAGCAACAGTGCTAAACTTTCTCCATTTGTATACAGTCAAATTGTCTTACCGTGGACACATGAACATCAAGGCTTTTGGAGATACTTTTGTAACCCTTTCCAGCTTCATGCAAGCACCAACAATTTTCTTGATGGTAAAAAGGTCTTCTGAGCAGCTCTTTCTGCGAGGCATGGTTTCACATCAACAGTGCTTCTTGAAACCAGTAAACCCAAAACAGGTTGTGTTTTTTAAGGGCAGGACAGCTGTCACCAACACATCCAATATCATTCACACTGATTGGAGTCAAGGTTGGCTCACCTCCTGGTATTATTTAAAATTAGCTCTGGCTTTATTAAAGCCATTAAGCTTAGGGCCTAACAATACTTTTTTCCTCCCTGCACTTTAATGTTTACATGTTATGTGCAAATAATTAAACCATGGCACCTATCTAATGTTTGTGTAGTTAATTATGTTCAGCAGACTGTGTATCTTCTATTGTTGTGACTTATTTATTTTTTCAAGCACATATTTTATCCCAATTCATGCAAAATTATTATTACGTAATCCCAAGGGTTATCACATATTATTTTTTCTTGCAACTTACTATAGATGGTCGATCTTAATTGTTTCTTATTCCAATTGGTATGTCTATTAATATGAATTCCTTGATTGTTGTTTTATTGTGTAATTTTGTAGTTTTTTATTTTTATTTTTATTTATTTTATTTTATTTTAAATTTTTAAATTTTAATTATTTTTTTTGTTTTTTATTTGGTTTTATTATTTAATTCTTTTTTCTTTTTATTATTTTTACCAATTTTATATTTTTATCTTTATTTTTTATTGTTATATTTATTATTCATTTTTATTTAATTATATATATTTTTTATTTTTTCTTATTTTTTTTTTCTTATTTACTTTTATTTTTACATAAAATTTTTTTGTATTAGAACTATTGTTTAGGGTATTTTGATAGATTAGTATGGAGTACATTTTTGTTATTATGATGATTTAAAATAAATAGAAAGGTAATTAGGTGTCAGTTGAATTAAAATATCGAGATTGTTATGTGTATGTTGGCTTGGAGATTGTAATTGGGAAGTGGATTGGAGGGATGAGGTGTTAGAGGGTTAATGGAATGGATTTGGCTGAATGGAGAAAGGGGAGGAGTAGTGGGGAGGTAATATAAGATGTTAGGAGCTGGAAAATGATGTCTTGGATAACGCCCTGGAGGAGGTGAAAACGCGTTGACGTATTTCCGGTTCCGGTGGGTGCGTGGTGACGTCTCACGTCCGGTGAGTGGAACGCACGCTGGTTTGGCGGTGCTCCGGAGTGACTTCTTGCTTGTCTAGAAGAGATTTCTATCTATCTTTGCCAGTCCACTTCTACAAATGGAAATCTGTCATATAATATGAGCCTCGGGGCCTATTATGAAGCCTGACTATATTTTGTATCATGTGAGTGTATAGAAGGCAGACTTGTTTTTTTTTAATTAAAGAGTTTTTTACAGTATTGCACTATTTGTTGTTTTTGTTTTGTTTTCCATTGTCATCCAATCGTGGGAGTCGTTTCTGGAGGATATTGAGTACAGAGTTATCTGGGAGGACACGCCCCACTCATTCTACGCTTGTCTGACTCTTGTGCCATATCAGGAAGAGTCCATTCCATCTGGTGAGGGGGGGAGGAGCATTCATCACGGATGGGGAGCACATTTGTTTGAAGAATTGTGGAGCACTTTTTTGGAGGGGGATTGAGCCAAAATTCATATATTTTGAAAATAATTTGTTTGGACTTTATTTTTGGACTTTTAATTATAGTATCTAATTTAATTTTAAATGTATTTTGTGCTGTGGAGTGTTTATAATTGTATTTGATTGCTTTTTAAAATGTTGTTTGGCCATTTCATTAAGTTTTATTATTTTTATTTGTAACTTTTTTTTTTTTTAGATTTTTTTTTTTTTTTTTTTAGACAATAGGAAATAAATCTCCAAAGTGGCTTGAAAAAAATGAGACAGTACACACTTTGTGTATTTCCCCTTTTCCTTTTTGGTATAGTTCTATGGTTCTATACTAATATTGTTCTGTTT